ATACCTACATATAGCGTGTTGGGAATCCACCCCACCACCCAACAATAAACCCAACAAAGAATTCTATCCTGAGGCCATTACACAAAAAATTGAAAAAAGAGAAAACTTTAAAAGATATGACAAAACAATCGAACACCGACCAATAAAGCTGAATTTAATAAAGCAGCAAAAGAGTGCAAAAATGCTAAATGACCTAAAAATACATCAACTGCAAAATATCGGAGAGAGTTATCACTAGACTTCGGCAAATATGCATATTGCATATTGTGCATATTGTGCATATTTTATGCAAATATTTCATATTTTGGCATATTTGTATAAAAGTTTGCATAAAGTGCATAAAAGTTCAGATTTTTATACTGTATTTGAAAATTTTTAAACATACCAATTTATTTCAATTCTTGTATAAAATTTTGAAGTCATTTTAATCAAGAAATGATCTAAGTACGTAATCTCTACAGGTACAAAACATTTACAATTTCAAAGAAGATCAATTTAAGTAGCCCTCAACATTCTTAGAAAGTCTCCGTCACTGAGGCATTCAGTTATTGGATAATCGCTAAGGGTTCGCTCATTTGCATTTTATGATCTAATCCCCAAATCTATCTACAATTTATTGTATCTTAACAGCAGGTAAACGGCTAATAGTTTTGTTCCTAATTTAGGGATTTTCCAAAATCTGCCAGTTTATTGAATTAAGTAGGTACCTAAACATTTCTAATTTGATGCTCAGATTTGTAAATCATTTTTGTTTTGATATTCAAAGCGTAAACACTCGTTGTGCGTAACAAAAAGGAATATTGTGATTTTATAATGCCTAAAACAACCAATGCTTCAACTTGGATTAAACCTTATAAAGAGCTGTCTATGGATATGGGAAAAATCTACTGTTCAGTCTGTGGCAAAATTGTAAGTATCTAATATTTTCTATTAAATATCTAATATTTCATACATACAGGGTGTTTCCAAATGACACTTACAACGTTTGACTGTAGATACTTCTCGAAAAATTGAACAAAACGATATAGCTAATGAGGGGTAAAACTTATTTACTTTTCGAGATACAGGGTGTTAAAATTAAAAAAATTAAATTCTTTTAGTTAATAACAACAATAACTTTAAAACCAATAAACGTATTTACTTGAAATTTAGTACTCGTAGGTTGTTTTTAAATGAAAAATAGCTTCCTTTAGTGAGAAAAATTTGTCCATGGTACAATACAATGGTGTGTATTTAGAAAAATTTTTCACCTTTACTTTTTTTTATGAAGTCAGCTATTCTAAAACACAATTATTTTTATTGTAATTGAATTAACAAAAAAAAACTTTTGTTGAATTTTAAAATAAGTTATATGATGTACTAATGGTTAGTAACAAAAACTAATTTGTGGATTAATACTGCATTTAAAACACTTAGCGAGTGTTTTTTTTTCAAACCAGTTATTTGATTAACCAAAAACACCTTGTATATTTTTATATTTTAAAGGTTGGGTTAAAATAAAGCTTTTTATTTTTATTTATAGATAGCATGTGAGAAGAAATTTCAGATAGACCAACATGTGAGAACTGCTTCACACATTGCAAAAAAAAAGAAAAATAGGAGGAAAACATCAAACTTCAATGGCTAAATGTTTCCAATCTACTTCAAAAAAATTAGATGAGCAAGAATATATATATATATATATATATATATATATATATATATATATATATATATATATATATATATGGAGAGAGAGAGAGAGAGAGAGAGAGAAAAGGAGTACGACACTGTCAATCCAATATAAATTAAAGGTCACTCGAAGAGTGGCGGGTTTTTTCGGTCAAAAGGTGGAGAAAAAAAGACGAAGATGATGGCTACTTCATCTATTAATTAAAAACGTTTCGCTTTCTAATCAGAAAACATCATCAGTTCATTATTTTTTTGGATTGACCTCGCTTGTTTGTTCTTTATTTGAATTATTAACTACATTTGAATTATTCCATTAAACCCTATGTTCATTATCCCATGCGTGTTTACACATTTGAGATCTATCAAATTCTCTATTTTTAATATAAGATTGATGTTCAATTATTCTAACATTTAATGGACTTGATGTTTTACCTAAATAAAACTGATCGCATTCACAAGGTATTTTATAAATGCAATTCTTTGTCCTTTCTTGTTCATTGTTAGGTTTGGTTTTAATAATAATTTTAGTTTTATAATTGTGGCTTATATATATATATATATATATATATATATATATCAATCAGTTTATAACGTTCTATGCCGTCTTCTGATTTCCAGTCTCCATTTATCTCGGTCGTTCCAGAGGTTTTCTTCAACTCCCTTCTCCCTTAAGTCTTCATCGATTCCTTCTCTCCAACTTAATCTAGGTCTACCTTGCTTTCTTCTTCCATGCGGTGTCCAGTTCAATACTTTCTTTGGTATTCTGTGTTCATCCATTCTTTGGACGTGTCCATACTATCTTGGTTGATTTACTCTGATATTGTGTTACCCCCATAAACACCCATAATTTCTCGTATTCTTTCGTTTCTAACTCTGTCTAATCTTGATTTTCCAGCTGCTCTTCTCCAGAAGTCCATTTCTGTTGCTTCTAATGCTTTTAAGTTTTTTCCTTTCAGTGGCCATACCTCACTTCCATATGTAATGTTGCTTTTTATAATGCTGTTATAGATTTTGTGTTTGTTTTATTTGGAGATTGTTTTATCCCATAGTACACTGTTTAATTGTCTAATGGCTTGTCTTCCTTGGTTATTTCTATGTGTAATTTATTCGTCTAATTTGCCATCGTTGGTTATTTGCATGCCTAAATATTTGTATTTTTTACAGTGATTTATTTCTCACTGTATTTCTTCCAAGATTAGATTTTGTTCAATTCCCCCAATGCACATGTATTCAGTTTTCTTAATATTTACTTCTAGCCCCCATAGTTCGTATTCTTCGATAAGTTTACGGGTCATATATTCGAGGTCTTCATAATGTTGGGCCATCACTATCTGGTCATCTGCAAAACTCAGTGTGTACAATATTGCGTCGTTTCGAGGGATTCCCATGTTTCTGCATTTTCTTTTGCACGTCTTCTGAGCTTGCTCTGAGTAGATCTTGAACAAAGTAGGAGACAAGCAGCATCCTTGTTTGAGTCCTTTCCTAAGAGTGAAACCCTTGGATACCTCCTGGCCTTTATTTTACTTGTGTTGTTCTTATAGAGGTCTTGAGCAGCCTTGATTAAGGTTACACTAATATTTGTTTTCTCGAGAGCTTCCCAGAGTTTTTGTTGTGGTACACTATCATAAGCTTTTTTAACATATCATATGTTACATATCATATCATGGTACACTTTCATAAGCTTAATTGTGGCTTACTCCCAGTTAAATAGTAATTAATTTAAAATGCCACAAGCAAATAGCTTCAGAACTTATTTGACAGTTGCGGTGTTGACACTTTTTGTACTTTATTATTTTGAATTTTAAAGTGAATACCTCTTGTTTTATATTTTTAATTATTTAATAAAATCTGTTATTTTTAGAACAAAATTTGTGTGTTTTATTTAAAAAATGTCACGTAAGTAATTATGTGATCTATTTGATTTAAAATGGAGTCAGGATTTTTTTATACTTTGGCAACTATGTCAACTTCGATCTCTGACGTAGATAATGACGTGTATCGGTATGTAAATTAGATGAAGTATATTAGATTTTTAAAATATTCAAACTGCTCTACTTCACAGTTGCTCGAAATGACATAGTGTAGTTTACCTTCGAGGTCCAGATATACAGTAAATGCTATTAACAGTATTCTTCTGCTAAAATTATCACCGTAACCGTTACCGCTATTATTAGTTGCCCATCGTCAAAGTGAAAAATGGGCTGCAGTACAACTATAAATCACTTAATTTATGTCAGTAAAGTATTTAGATTGAAGTATAACTCAACAGATATAGCTGTAACGTTCAAGGTCACTTCATCGATAAATGCAGGAGTCAATAGTCAGTTATATGTAAGCGCCCGAACCGTAAACATCCATATACTTAACATTGAACACATGTTTTGGCGAGTTTGCTACGTTGTCAGATAACTTCGTAATTCGTGAAATAGTTATTGTTTGTTGAATTTTCATATTAAAAACTAAAAAGATCTAAGAGAATCTATTTTTATAAGCTTATTTTCACAACCGTTGGAACCAATTTATAATAATTAAATTTCTCATTATGAATTTTATCAATTACGAAGAACGATGTTATGCAAACGGTAGTGTTATGGTCACAAAAATCGGCTTAGGATTTACTGAGATAAAACAGGCAGAGATACTTAGAATACAAAGGCTGATATTTACGGTTAGGTAATCTATTGAGGGCTGGTAAAGATGAAGGTAAGCATTAGAGATAGACGCAATGGAACAGCAAGATGCGGATAGCCAATTACAATAATCAAAGACAATAATGTTGCACGTTTAGTGATAGGTAATCTCAATCACAATAGCGGGACTTTGGGTAACAGAAATAATGGATAATTTAAATTAGCGGGATAGTTACAAGATAATGGGTTAAATTGGTTTTTCGGGCAATGAACATAACCTATAGATATATTCATCATCATCCAGCCTCAAGAGTCCACTGCTGAACATAGGCCTCTTCCTCATGTCCGTCCAACCCCGTCTATCTTGCGCCGCTCTTATCCAGTTTTTACATAGTCTTCTTAAATCGTCAGTCCATCTTGTAGGTGGTCGACCGACGCTTCTGTCTTCCCTTGCCCTCCATTCCAATAACCTCTTTGTCCATCGCCCATCTGTCATTCTGGTTATGTATCCTGCCCATCTCCATGCTCCATTTTAGTCTGGCTGTCTTCTCGATGATATAGAGGTATTATATATCTGATATTATATATTATATATTATATATTATATATTTGAAATTAAATGTAAGCTTAATGTACGTCAGTGTTGCCATATACTCAATTATTAATAATCAATAAACTAAATAGTTATTACTTTTTTAGCTAAAATTTACCCTATTCGAAGGGGGTGTTCGAGGTACAGGAGTAATATACAGTCCACTATTTAAGCAAAGAAGTTACGTAAACCGTCAATTAATTCATATTACTGATTTTTTACCAACATTTTACCATGCTGCAGGGGGTGATATCAGAGATTTAGGAGAAATTGACGGATTTAACCAATGGGAAGTAATTTCCAAAAACAAAATAACTAAACGAACCGACCTCCTAATCAATATTGACGATGTTAATCACTATTCTGGTATTTTGGGTTATAATGGCCGCTACAAACTGTTAAATGGTAAGTTTAATCTTTATCTTCTTTGATTTAATTGCTATTTAAATGGGAATAAGCCACAATTAAAACTTAAAGTACGTTTAATGACGTTTCAATTTCAACTTCGAAAATCATTCTCAAAATACAAACATTAGTATCAGTATATCGTAAACTAATGTTTGTAATTTGAGAACGATTTCCGAAGTGGAAATTGAAACGTCAATAAACGTACTTTAACCTTTAATTGTGGCTTATTCCCATTTAAATAGTAATTAATTTCATAACGTAGTTTGAAGTTCAATTCACATTTTAACATTTTTTTAAAATTGGAAGAATACATTGATAATAGGTTACCAGTTAAAAAGTGGCCGCAAATATGTTTACTTCAATTAATAGTAATTAACTTTTTACAAAACTTTTTATTCGTTTATTTATTTTTTAAATAAAATTCTTATGACGAATATGCATGTTTATATAAAATTTAAGCAATTTTTTTAATATGATGATATTAGTTTGTTTGAGAAAAAATGGTGGAAACTGGGGAAAAAGCTGTTAAAACGCTAGCAATGAAGTGTCAGTTGTGTGAATCTGTAAAGCATGCGTTTATAGATATATGAGTAATATAAAGTTCATTCCACGAGTATACGACTGTTTTCGTATATTTTTTTATATTAAAACAGTCATATATTCTATTCTCACTTGTCAAACCAGTATCGTTGCTCCCTAACTGTATTTTACTTAATCATTGAATCCTCGCGTTTTTAACAGCTGGTAACCCTATTTTCGATCATTTTTTGTCATGCAACCTTATATCATCATATTAAAAAATGGCTTTAATTTAATATAAAAAACATACATATACGTCATGAGCAGTGTATTTTATTACCATTGATTGAATTAAAAATATTTGAGGCTACTTTTTGATTGGCAATCTGTTGTCACAAAAATGTGAGTTTGATAAACTACGTTATAAACGTTAGATCTTGCAGTGTGATCTTGTACTATTACATTTACCTAATCAGTATATAGTCTTCTTTCTGTTACCTGGTTTTAATTTAGTTTTATCTGATAAATTCAATAAAAATAAATTATTATATTCGTTCCTTTGTTTTAGGTTCATTTAGCGACGGAATTTACAATGACTATTACGGAGACAGTGGACGCAGTAGCGAGGATCCCCCATACGACTTGAAATTAGTGCTAAAAAGTCCTACTAATTTGGCTATACAGAAACTTCAGCGAGACACATACCTTGACTCCGAAAAAATTCTATCACTACGGAAACAAATCGACATCGTGGCTTGCAGATTTAAATCTAAACTTTTTAAATGCAGGGATATGTGTCTTTTTGATCTTTACAATGATCCTTGTGAAACCAGAAATTTAATAAAAGAAGAACATTTGCAAGAAGTTATAAACACTTTAAAAGGAAAATACTTTCATTATCTCAGGGAAGTCGTACCACAAGCTAAAAAGCAGATAGAACCTAAATCAGATCCTAGGAACTTTAATAATACTTGGTCACCATGGATATCGTGTAGCGTATCTACTAAGCGGAAGAGATTTATCGATGTAATTAGAAACTGGTATTCGGCATTTTTCTCAAATTTAGTATCAAATTTTTCAATTTTTAAGGTATAATGTTTGTCATATTATAATTAGATACGACTTGTCTCTTACTGTTACTATAATACTATATATATTTATACTTATATATATGATACTTTTTTAGTTGTCTTTTAATAATTTTTGCCATTATTACAAATTGGAATTGGAATGTAAATTTAAACCAGCAACTAGTAATCTAAATATATTACTATTTAGTATAAAAATGAGGAAATAAAAACGATGTTTGAATAAAATTGATAAAATCGCTTACAAAATAACATACCATACATAATTACATTACATGGCTTACCAAAGGTCATTTTATTTTTTTATAGCTTTTTATAACAACTCAGGAATGACTGGATCAGGAGAATTGAATTAAATTGCAAATTGCTTTTGCCATTATTACAAATTGGAATTGGAATGTAAATTTAAACCAGCAACTAGTAATCTAAATATATTACTATTTAGTATAAAAATTAGGAAATAAAAACGATGTTTGAATAAAATTGATAAAATCGCTTACAAAATAACATACCATACATAATTACATTACATGGCTTACCAAAGGTCATTTTATTTTTTTATAGCTTTTTATAACTACTCAGGAATGACTGGATCAGGAGAATTGAATTAAATTGTACTGATTTGAATTTAATTAAATAGAATAGAATGGAATAGAATAGAATAGAACATAATATAATAGAATAGAATAGAATAGAATAGAATAGAATAGAATAGAATAGAATAGAATAGAATAGAATAGAATAGAATAGAATAGAATAGAATAGAATAGAATAGAATAGAATAGAATAAAATAGAATAGAATAGAATAGAATAGAATAGAATAGAATAGAATAGAATAGAATAGAATAGAATAGAATAGAATAGAATAGAATAGGATAGAATAGAATAGAATAGAATAGAATAGAATAGAATAGAATAGAATAGAATAGAATAGAATAGAATAGAATAGAATAGAATAGAATAGAATAGAATAGAATAGAATAGAATAGAATAGAATAGAATATAATAGAATACAATAGAATAGAATAGAATAGAATAGAATAGAATAGAATAGAATAGAATAGAATAGAATAGAATAGAATAGAATAGAATAGAATAGAATAGAATAGAATAGAATAGAATAGAATAGAATAGAATAGAATAGAATAGAATAGAATAGAATAGAATAGAATAGAATAGAATAGAATAGAATAGAATAGAATAGAATAGAATAGAATAGAATAGAATAGAATAGAATAGAATAGAATAGAATAGAATACAATAGAATAGAATAGAATAGAATAGAATAGAATAGAATAGAATAGAATAGAATAGAATAGAATAGAATAGAATAGAATAGAATAGAATAGAATAGAATAGAATAGAATACAATAGAATACAATAGAATACAATAGAATAGAATAGAATAGAATAGAATAGAATAGAATAGAATAGAATAGAATAGAATAGAATAGAATAGAATAGAATAGAATAGAATAGAATAGAATAGAATAGAATAGAATAGAATAGAATAGAATAGAATAGAATAGAATAGAATAGAATAGAATAGAATAGAATAGAATAGAATAGAATAGAATAGAATAGAATAGAATAGAATAAAATAGAATAGAATCGAATAGAATCGAATAGAATCGAATAGAATCGAATAGAATCGAATAGAATCGAATAGAATCGAATATAATCGAATAGAATCGAATAGAATCGAATAGAATCGAATAGAATCGAGTAGAATCGAATAGAATCGAATAGAATCGAATAGAATCGAATAGAATCGAATAGAATCGAATATAATCGAATATAATCGAATAGAATCGAATAGAATAGAATAGAATCGAATAGAATAGAATAGAATAGAATAGAATAGAATAGAATAGAATAGAATAGAATAGAATAGAATAGAATAGAATAGAATAGAATAGAATAAAATAGAATTTTCGGTAGAAGGCAGAAGAATAGTGGACATAAACTTTTTTGATTGATTGATGGATTGATAAGTACATTGACTTTTAAATGTCAAATGTGGAATATTGAAAAGGAGATAGCAACATAGGATTCTGGTAACAATTCACTGAACTTGAATGGTTCTGGTTATTCAGACATACAGCAGCAGCACGCTGCATTAAATATACCTGTGAGGTCCTACAAACAGTATGCAAAACATACGGAAACAGTTGCAGATATCATCGGACAAACACTTTGTGATTCCTTAGAAGAGGCTGGACGGGAGGAATTAGCTTTAGTCAAAGAAATTGGTGAAGTAGATTCCGACGGAAATGGGTTAATAACCGTTATAGCTGATGGTGCTTGGTCAAAAAGATCGTAAAAAGTAAACTATGATGCTTCTTCAGGTGTAGTACCTGACGTTGTAAAATTTATTAAATTAGTACGATTTTGATGGATAGGACATGTAATTAGGCGAGGTGAAGATGAAACGATCAGAAAAATTTTCGACCGAAGAGGACCAGTGGGAAAACGATCCAGAGGAAGACCAAAACTTAGGTATCAAGATAACATAGAGGATGATCTAAAATCCATCGGAGTTAAAGCATGGAGAAAGTTGCCAGAGACAGGGGCGAATGGAAGATTGTTCTGAAGAAGCCTTTGGCTCATGACGAGCTGTAATGCCACTGATGATGATGAAATAACTATCCACGATTTGTGTTTTATTCATCAATTGGATACTTTTCTTATGTAACTGCAACCAATAAATATATTAAAATAATGTATATTCCATTCAGAGAACTTTTTCCTCGCAGTGCGTCGCCTCGAAATACTTGCGAGATAAATACATTTACTATTATGATGGTTTCGCAGGTACCAATTTTTTATAGATAAATAAAAATATTTTTTGTTTAATTTTTACTACGCTAATATCAGTTTTCTCTAACAAATAAATAACTTCTTGAAATAATTTTCAAGCTAAAACTGCGAAATTGTTTATTTGTTTCTGACAACAAATTGTAATTTTTTTGATAATAATATTCTTATGTTATTTTAAATTTATTATAAATAAACACCATGGTGTTTTTTGCAGTCACGTTTCACAAATTTTTATTTAATACTATGTTTAGCTAAGATATATAAATTAAAAATGTGATTAATTCTTTTTAAAACATTATCTACGATAATTAATCAAAAAAAGTATTCCGACAAAACTAATTTGAATGGAGAATAATGCATTTATTGTCATTAAACAACCCGTGGGACGGCGCCACTGAATAAACATCCAAACTATTAGGAAGCCAAAGTGGAAGTAGGATCTGACATACGCAGTGTAGAAAAGTAAGTGATACGCCCACTTCAAATCGCAGTATGCTATAACTGCGAAAATAGCCTTAAATAAAACTACTAACCCCACATATCTGCCAGGCGCTTGTATTCGACTCAAGGTTTCTACGGTAATTCCCAACATATCCGAGAGATGAGAACGATATTAACTTGTCAATCACGCCCCCAATTCAAAATCGTTGAAGTAGCGTCGCTTCCTTTCCTGTTACAAACGTCTACCCGATAGGACGCGTTTCCGAAGTAAGTCTCTAGATTAGAGGTAAGCTACGAAGAAAAGCCTTTTCTTGTCTATATTTCAGATGAATAATTATTTTCGGACTCTTTTTTCCGGTAGGTTAAAGTCCATTGATTATGTTAAGTTAACTGAGACAGTTTCCTATGGTCCAATACTTCCCTATATATGGTGTCCAATAATTACCTATTATATAAATGGATTCTTATTAGAAAATATTTGACGAAATACCCAACGGATGAGGAGAAGCAGAGTATGTCGCTTTTTTCCTGGTTCCCAGTGATTGGATAAATAAGGTTGTACATTTTTTTAATTACGCCCTACCAGGAATTCGAGAATTATTTATGGATTCACAGAGACAAGAATATAGTGAAATATTTTAAATTTGTTTAAAGACTTAACCTTTCTATTATGCTTAGTTAATAAATAGATTTAACTTTTCTATATTGCCTAGTTAATAAATAACTACTATAATTTTTTAAATGTAAACGAATTTCGAAATTTGGGAATAATATATAAATTCTTTTGTTCCTATCAACCAATTCTTGATTTAAAAAAGATAGAAAGTTGCTTTGTTTATAGTAATGTTTCTTTTTATTACTGAGAAATAAAGTGTAATTTCGCTGTAAATTTTTTTATATATCTTAATTTTTATTTATCTTTTCTCGTCCCCTGCGAGAATAAACAAGGGGTGGCGTCCAATGATAAATTATAATTTCAGTTATCTAATTATGTTTGAAATTTTGACATGCTACGTAGTTTTTTGTGAAGTTGACCTTAACACGCCCATTCTTTCCGACATGAGCTAACCTGACCTTGAATTAAATGTATGAACACGATGTTATCAAAAATCGACGTTACAACTTCACCGCGTGGAAATCCAGTTACAGTTCAGTGGGTCTCCAATCCAAAATCCTCATACGATTGCCGATGTACATAGAATTGTGTGACAGTGTTGCGAAGTTGAAAATTACAGCCAGACGGAAAAATACGAAGAAGAAGTAGCAGGGAAAAACCAAACAAACCAAGAGAACAGCAAACCAGCAAAACAGCAAAACCATGAAGCAAAAAAACATTAATTACCATCTGTGTCTAAAATAATAATTTGGAAATAAATATATTGATTTTAACACTTTGTTTATCTGCATTTTGGCGATAATGGAGCAATACAAAAAAACTAGTATCTGAACTTGAATGTACGAAAACTGATAATTTGAATAGCTTCTTAGAGATGGAAAAAAATAACTACAACTTTTTAATTAATTAAAAACGAAATGTTCTAACACTCACCCTTCTTAGCCAGATTAGGGGTTTGAAATATCCCAAATTGGACCGAAACGTAGTCGACTATTTGGACTCGTGATTAAGGCTAATTTCTTGTTCTAAATGCGACTCCCGGTATTCACGTGTACTGTAGATCCGCTTTTCTTTAGCGAGATTGTAGATTTTCCAAAAAAACCCTTCCACGAAGGCAGCAAATCCCCTT